AATTTTGTTGTTTGATTATATTTCCCTTGAAAAAGCTTGGACCAGATTGCCAGGCGAAACGTTAGATTTACTTAAAATTCATTCGCTGAGATTTTACAAATATATTATTCTTTTTAATGTCTCAAATTAACTCGGTGCCCAAATATTGTGAAACTATTCGTTCAAATTTAGACGAAAGTTCTTATATAGTAGATAATATGTCAAATGAAAGCTTACAATTAAATGTATATATCAGTCTATAAACTATTTTTGGAAGTTGCCATTTATTTAATTTTCTTCGGATACAACAATAAGCATTCCTTCCATTGTTCACAACGGCCTGTGAATCACTGAACTAACTTATAATACACTCAATAGTTTCGTGATTCTAAATCACTTTTGTACAACACTGGTTTATTTTACTTCTACTATTTTTAATTTACCACAATTATTATGATTAGAAACTCTTTGTGACTCATGTTTCCAATAATTGCCCCACTCCTCATTGTCCTCAATGTCAATCGCTACTCACCTTAGCGAACAGTAAGTGTATTTACTAATATAGGTACAAGTGTGATTACATAAAATGATAAACGGTTACATCAAATGTGTATCCATACATGTAATTAACTTTCTTAGTCAGTAATAATCAATACAAAACGTAGGACAAATATAAATCAGGTCAAATTACTGAATTATATCAACCCAAGAAAAGATATATACAATGTTAATAGTAAAATCAAAGTACTCGTACTATCACTGATAATTCGAATAAAACTAACATAAAGAGTATGTTACCAAGAGACGAAATGTACTACAACTTATTTGTTTATTTATTTGAACACAAATATTTGTACAAGAGGGCTCCAGAATATATATGCGCCACACAATAAAAATGTGATTGTGAAGAGATAGAGAAAGGAGGGTAGGTATAATAAAAGAAGGACAAAATTGACATATTGTAAACGAGTGAAATAATAATATTAATTGTCATAATGTGAGTAGTAGTTCAGTTAAGAAAAATATAACTGGGAAGAATATTTGTATTTAGAGAAGTTACTCTCACTTTTCTAAAGAAAGTAAACGGAAGTTACAACAGGATGGCTACTGGGATGATGTTCTTAATACTCATTCAATCCCCCGATGTCGGTGTATCATAATGGTGACACCAGTTGAATTATCGTCTCTGTACCCGAACACATTACAATTAAAACTGAAGGTAGTGATGAGGATAAAGAAAATGAACTCATTTGTATCATTATTACTGATTTTTAGCCATTTTACCTAGGATTTGGAACCATTGTTCACGATTATCGTGCAAATCACAAACAGTTAGTCTGCATCTATTAGCACCGTTTTGAGTTCAAACATTTTCAATGTAAGTAATATAGTTAACCAGTGTGATCTGTAATACTCCTGATTATACTGCGCAAAAGTTTAATTTAGTGTTTTTCATGTTTGTGAGACGGCTTTTAAAAATATTGAGTATTCATAGTATTCGATTATAGATGCTTTCGAAGCATTGCCCGTGTATTTTAGGACCATGGTGTGAGCAATACAAAGGTAAGGTATATGCTATTTAACAACTTGAGCTTGTGAATCTTCATCTACTGAAATAGTTAATATGTGTATCACGCACAATCACCCCCCTCTTTGATGCATTATGTTTGCTGGTATAAGAGTAGATTAGAAGTGAGCTAGGGATAGGGATAAACCAATACTAGCCTGTAAAGCCATCGTCTGTTGAGATGAGACGTGTTGGTGGCGGCAAACTATTTTTTGAGGTCCGCGCGGTTACCCTAACCAAGTAGTCAAAGACGTTGGTTGACATGTTTCGGAATCTATCACAGTAGCATAAATACATTCACGCTTTGTCTTAAAGCGGTAATGTTTTCTACTACCACTGGTACTATCGCTACTTCTGCTTTGTCTCTTTTTATTCTGTTGTGCTGATATATACTGTGTGGCGGCTTGAATAAATGTGGCAGGTTCTACTTCTATTTATTAACTGACCGATAATTTTGAACGGACATTTATTCTAGTGTTGTATACTGATGAATAAATCTATTTTTGGAAAATATTTATCAAAATTATATCACACTCTTCCATTTCTTTTCTTAAGGTTTTAGATAACAAACAAATTACACTGACCTTTTAACGCATATGATATGTAATTGTATAATTATTATGACCAACTGCATTGATTTTAAGTAAAACTATTAAAGCGTACTGTCACTGTCAGACCCTTAAAGTAGCTAATTAGAATAAAGGTAGTTATTCGTCATTAGTTTTTTTTCGATAATTGGAATTTAAAGCAATTAGTCCCTTTTATAAATTTCGATAGAACAATTTTTAGAACATTTTTTCAGATCAACTCCGTCTTCTCATTGTTCTATCGAAATTGGAATTATCCTAACGATGAACAAGATTACGAACAATATGAACAAACGATTTGTTGTAAATCATCCAAAAAGTAAATGATTTATGTGAATTAAAAAAACCAAAAGACGCGTTGTCATCTTGTTGTAAATACCCCTAAATTTTGTTTGATCAGAGCTCAATCAACATTAAACAGGATCATGTCAAGTGTACCTCACTAAATTATTGACTTATTAGCAACAGATACATCTATATCGATAGATAGATTGTGTATGATCTGCTATATTGAAATGAATACTGAGAAAAATTAAACTTTTGGAACGGTCTTACCTAAAGTTATTGCTTACATTTCCATTGTATAATGGTTAATTGCTTCACGCAGATGACATAGTCCTGTTTGATGAAGAAAATGATAAAACACAGTCTTTTGGCAGCACTGAGAAACAATGCCAGGATGTTTTGAATGCTTTTGTGCTCAGCTGATTAGATTACTATTGACATGTATTTAAAGGATCAGAGCAATTATAAGTGCTGAAAACCCATAGAAACTGTAGAAAAATCGATAAAGTACTATGCAAAGCCTTTGTATACAGTATACGATCCTATTCACCCTCTCTTTTCTATGTAGTTAACTTTGCATAAAAATACTAACTTTTATACTGATTGTTTTGTTTAAGTATATTATGCTTTTTTAGTATCACCGTGACATTGTATTGTATGTATTATTCTTAGTTTGATTTATTGATGTATATAAGAATGTTATACTGAATGAAATGACTAAAAAGATGTTACCGTTATACTTGAAGACAAATTAAACTGTATTAGTGTGTATTCAAAACTTACATTTGAACTTATTTGTTACCAATCCAACAAAATTATTGGGTTCAATAAAATATTTTATAGATAAACAAAAAAAAGTTATTTTGCAAGTTATTTACAATGAAATACTGTCTATTAATGAAAGACTTGTGTGTACGATGGTAAACATATCGCTTTTATTGATGAGAGTAAAAATCATGCATAAAATGTATCATTGTTTACTTAGAATTTGATATAAGATTATTCCTTTTTTCAATTTTCAATAAGATTGCAGCGTCTAACATTTTCGATTATCTTCCTTTCATTTAGTGAATGAATTCTGCATATAAATGCATACTCTTTTATTCTTACTGAGGATTTCATTCCAATCCTTTGAAACTATGTACATGTATGTTCTATGATTACGTCACTGTAGCGTAACTCAACTTTCCCAATAAAAAAAATCAATCAAAGTGAAATTCAGAGCTTAAAATGAAATCCTCAGGGAAAATTATGCTCTTATATGTAGCGCTCGTTTAATAAATAGAAGGAAAAATGCCAGAAAATGTTTGATACTGTACACGCCTACAGTTTAGCTAGGGGTTGAATATGTATATAAATTTGGGTTTTTGTTTCTTTATTCTGATTGTTTAGTTAAAGATTATTGCAAATTATCGTTGTACTGTTAAAATTGACTAAAGAAATCATGACCGACAATATCTATAAATTATACAATTAATTCACCATACATTCTCAGAACCTTTTGAAGGAGTTTCCTTCTTTGAGCTGGATTGTTTAACCGTGCACATTTCATTGTTTTATTGAATAACATCATCAGCACAAACTTCTAGTACAAATTAGCTATTCAAATTTCTCCACATATAACTAACAATGTTGATCTTGATTGGCTGTCTTTAACCTTTAGCCTGTCGTTGTGTGCATATTTATTTTGATCATCTCCCTCTTTTACCATATGTAGAGGACATATCAGAATTTTTAATAAGGTTATTGAGGCCGTTTAAAATAGATGTAGTACATAAACTAACAGACTCACTTCAATCGATTTTATGAAAATCAAAGGATAGAATGAAAAATGGAGAAAAGCCAAAGGTCATCCATATGACAAACTTCTAACTGCAAAGAAGAATACATCGGATGAAGTGGCAGTCTTCTTCATCTTCTACATGGCATCAATTAACTGTTATACGCCATTCTGTACTAATGCACGTAGACAATTATGGACTCAAGTGGGAAAATATGTACGAATATAAAATCGAGAATTAGATCAAAGTTATATGTAGACAAATTCGAATAGGTCACTTCCACCTGAAATTCATGCTAATGAAAACTCTACTGTTAAAGCATCCAGCTCAGAGAATGAAGCTCCATGAAGACAGATATATACCAATTCCTAAATGTTAAGAGTTCATCAGTACTAGGTTGTATGCCACTTGTCACTCGACAACAATATGGATATCTTAGTTTTAATGGAATCGAATTACCTATCTGACCTGGATGCTTAGATTTTATCATAAACGACCAAAGGAAAAATCTGGAAAAAGTGTTCACTTTAGAACACCAATCATAATAACTCCCTTCAACAAATCAAACAAAAAGTACAAGAGACAAGCAATATCACGAGTAAGAAGTCATCAAGCTTAAAAAACGGAAGTCGACCAAAATCATCCTCCTTCCGTAATAAATCTTCTCCAACATTTCGTAATATTGGTAGGCAATAGATTACTCATTTTAATTCACTCATCTTAATACAAGTATTAGTTTTCGCACTGAGACAATCTATGTACATATCTCCTTCATGTTCACTTTTTTTTCTGTTCCAACAGACGTCTTGGGATATCATATGTTTTGGCTACTGGTGGAGCATTAGGCACTGCATTAACTATCAATAAACAAGTTCAAGTAAATTATTTCTTTCTGCTATTTGAATTAGTAATTGTTTTTTGTTTTTGTTTTCTATTGGTTTCACTTACATATATATTTATTAACTACTAGATATTATTCTATTTAATTATATGTAAATAGATTTACTCTTATGTCATTGAATGTACACGTAATTATTAATTACGATGGCTAAAACATATGCTGACTGGTGATTGGGTCCAAGAGATATTTCCTGGAGTTCTAGTGAGAAGCAGTGATCAGTGGAGTTCAACTGGGTCTGTTGTGAGATAGTAACTCACTGAAGACAATGATGGATGTGTCACTCAATTTTGTGGATTAGTTAAAGTTAGACATTAACACCATTGGATGCCGACTAGCTCAGTGGTCTAGTGATTAAGCGCTCGCGCAGGAGACCGATAGGTCCTAGGTTTGAATCTCGTGAGGCGGGGTCGTGGATGGGTACTGCTGAGGAGTCCCATAATAGGATGAAACGGCTGCTCAGTGCTTCCAGGTTTTCCATAGTGGTCTAGCTTCATTTGACTCATGATCTCAACTATTAAAACATTTTAACTGTTTTATCATTATGAGTGGGATTGTAATAGTCTTGTGAATAATTGTTTTAAGTCAATATTGAGAACTGTCATTTTTTAAAGTATAAACCATATTCTAACAGAAGTGAATCATCAAAGTATATGTGATTAACAATCTACTCGTCAATTCATTATGAAGTCACATATTTCTTTTCCGATGGTTCTTTAAATTCCAGATGTTACTTCTATGAGTATTTATTTTTAACTAGATTCAATATGTACCACTGTCATAAATCATTCATCTTAAACAATGTTTTCTAAAGATCTTCCTTTATTCATATGAGATTGTTTGAAATGGATTATATTCCTATCAATTTTCATCAGATTAATATGTTTATCCAATTCAAAAACACACAGAAATAATTTCACTTCCTTATGTAACATTAGTGGCTATCAATTCGATGTATTTTCAACGCTTCTTTTGTTTAGGTAGCCCTTTTTGCTCGGGATCTAGAAAGTATGATTATATACCTATATTTCTCTATCTAAGTCATTACTTACTTACTTACGCCTGTTACTTCTCGTGAAGGAACATTCGCCATCCAACCCTGTCCTGGGCAATCATTTCCAGCTCCTTCCAGTTGTTATTCATCCTTTCCACATCTAATTTTATTTCCCGACGTAATGTGTTCTTTGGCCTTCCTCTTTTCTGCCTTCCTTCAGGATTCCAATTTATGGCTTGTCTCGTGATACAGTTTGACGATTTGCGTAGTGTATGTCCTATCCATTTCCATCGTCTTTTCCTAATTTTCTCTTCAGCTGGAAGCTGGTTTGTTCTCAGTCATAATAGACAATTTTTTTAAAAATTTTATCTTCACTTATACTGTCACATTGTCTGTTAATAATCCGTTCATTCTATAATGAAACATCTACTTCACTCGTTATATACAAACAAAAGAACAAGTACACATACATGAGTCTTGATAGGTAATCAAAATGAGTGTATAAATATTTCAATAAACCCTTATTATTATTATTATTATTATTATTATTATTACTATTGTTACTACAACTACTACTGTTACTATTATTATTACTATTATTATTATAAATATCGTTGTATGACCCACAGATGTACTGTTCTAATCCTGTTTAGTAAACAGGGTATAACTGTATTGATTAATTAATTTTAATACGGCATATTAAATAGTTTTTGTAAAAATGTAGTGAATTTTGTCGTTATTATTATTATTATTATTATTATTATTATTATTATTATTATTATTATTATTATTAGTTGATTGTTCATATGAAATGATTTTTTTGAAAAAAAAACATGATTATGTTCCACTTTCAACGATCTATTGCTTACATGAACTGAAAATTCAATACAATTTATGAATTAGCCTTTTATTTACAAATCATTTTATAAGTGATAAATATTTACTAAATTAATCTAATTACACTATTCGTAGTTATAACTTTTGATGCTTGTTTATTCTATGATTTAATAGAAATCATGAGACATTAAAGTCAATTTTTTAAATAAGAAATCAGTATTTAAGTAATATAAAAGAATGAGGACCGATAATGGTCAAGATTAGAAGTTGGGTTTATAACGGGGGGGGGGAGAACATTTTGTAGTTATATTGATGAATAGTTGTGTGGATAGTCATTTGATTTCAATTCTAAAGAACATGTAAGTTACCTTGATTGCTTCGTCTCAAAAATATAAGTTTATAATTTAGAGATAATGTCAATTCTCCATATCATATACAATCCACAGAAACAGAATTAAGCATTTAATAAGTTTAAGATCATCAGTTTTCTCCATGCATGACAAAAAAATTTTCTCTTTCATTTTGGACATTTTTACTACGGCGTACCTGAAAAGATAGTCAATATCATACGAAATATCTTTGGTGGATTAAACTGCAAAGTCGTGCACGCAAGACAGCTTAAAGACTCGTTCGAAGTAAAGACAGGTGTCAGGCAAGGTTGCATACTCTCACCCTTTCTCTTTCTTTTGGTGGTCGACTGGATCATGAAAACGTCAACATGTGAGGGGAAGAGCGGGATACAGTGGACAGCCAGGATACACCTGGACGATCTAGACTTCGCAGATGATCTGGCTCTTCTACCGCACACGCAATAACAAATACATGAGAAGCCGACCAGTGGAGCAGCAGTCTAAGCAGCAGTACATCTCAACATACAAAAACGGAAAAGCAAGATTCTCCGACACAACCCAACACGCATTAACCAAATTACACTTAATGGAAAAGCTTTGGAGGATGTAAAAACCTTTACATACTAGGCAGCACCATTAATGAGCACGGTGGATCTGATGCAGATGTGAAGGCGCGGATCGGCAAAGCAAGAGCAGCATATCTACAATTGAAGACCATCTGGGACTCAAAACAACTGTCAACCAACACCAATGTCAGAATTTTCAATACAAATATCATGACAGTTCTACTGTATGAGGCGGAAACCTGGAGAACTACAAAAGCCATCATCTAGAAGATACAAGTGTTTATTAACAGTTGTCTACACAAAATACTTCGGATCCGTTGACCAGACACTATCAGCAACAAGCCATTGTGGGAGAGAACAAACCAGATCGCAGTGGAGGAAGATATCAGGAAGAAGTGCTGGAAATGGATAGGACACACATTGAGGAAAGAACCCAACTGTGTCACAGGGCAAGACCTCACATGGAATCCTCAATGCCAAAGGAGGAGAGGAAGACCAACGAACACATCGGGCACGTCGAGAAGTGGAGACAGACATGAGATGGATGAACACAAATTGGACAGAACTGGAAAGAAAGGCCCATAACAGAGTGGGATGGCGAATGCTGATCGGCAGCCTATGCTCCATTGGGAGTAACAGGCGTAAGGAAGTAAGTATTCTGAACATTTTGAGCACCATACATAAGTATTTCTACTACTCTTTATGCATGTAATGTCCAACCTTTGGTAGATTTGCATTTAGCCTAAAGGTACCATGTGTGTGTTGGGGCAGTGTTGGAAGCATTAGGTGAATGAATCTGAAAAGAAAAGAATAAGAAAAAAAGTCAACCGTCGATTTAGTAAACACATACTATGTACCTACATCCAGTAATGTAAGTAACTTATAACAATAAATTAAAACAATCTGATAATCGAAACCAGTTGATAGCTTAAGGTTTCGAATGCATTGCATACGTTGTATTTGAATTTCACGTCTAAACGTGGAAGTTACATTCTCGATTTTGATTGAGTCGTCCCTATACTGTACTTCTACCCATTACTAATTTTGTAATGGAATTTGGATATTTGTTTGTTTCTTTTTCCTTTGATTTTTAAATAGATTTTCAGTGTTAATCACTGTTTATCTAAAATTCTGTCATAAAAGTGTATATTTGATTTTACAAATGAAATAGTCTTATAACGTTTATCGTTGAGTTATATATGTATATCAGTCATTATCTAAAGTTAAATATCCAAATTTTCAGTAAGTGGGAATCATATAGAGAATGATGTTGTTTTCTGGGAAAAATAAAAAGGATAAAAATTTAATTTCGACAGAGCTGCTGTTCTACTACAAACACTGTTTCATATTGTTGTGAATAAACAGGCTAATGGAGTTTGATGTGTTTTAGCAGATGACCAACTATCTCTGAAACTAGAATCTTCTTTTCATAAATTAAAATATGCACATATTCCGTGAGCACTTTTTTCTCTCTAAATTCTTTTTATTTGCTTTCTTTTTCAATTTCAGAAATTCCCTCCTATAATTGGTCGATTTGTACCATTTATTGCAGTCTCTGCAGCTAATTGTATTAATATTCCATGTATGAGAAGTGCAGAACTAACTGAAGGTACACCTATATTGGATGAAAATGGTGAGAAATTGGGTAAATCAACTGTTGTAGGACGTAGAGCTGTTAGTCAAGTGGTTTTATCACGAATATTAATGGCTTCCCCTGGAATGAGTAAGTCATATAATAATATGATAGTTTTGTGTTGTGAGGATGTGTTTTGTCTATCACTAATTTAATTGACACTCATCTCATTTTATCATTTCTTGCTTAATCCATACCAGTTTATACATTCAGTAGTCTCTCGTTGAGCGTTTGGTCTCATTTTTAATTACAGTATTATTTCTCTCATCCTATGTCATCAATATTTACTTCAATCATTAGTTTCAGAATTTTAATTGGCCTGTATCTTATTTATTTATTTATTTAAACACCTAAACATTGGTACAAGGAGGCATCAAATAGATATGCGCCACATAAATCATTCGATTTTCGTGAGGGCTGGGATGCTGCCTGGGTGCCAAAACTGAAGCTGATGGTTTTCTTAGGGAACCACACCTGGAACCTTCGACCTGAAGGTTTGACCCACAATGCAGTTGAGCAACTTTAGGAGATGCAGTCCCATGGTAGCCGATGACTAACGATTGGTTCATATGCCATTTGTTCCCTCGGGATCGCGGAGCCCATGTGCACCACTGGTTTGGTATCAGGGTTTTCCAACTCCCCTAGGTGGACTCTCCATGTCCACCAGCCCGGTTAATGCGCCGGACATTCGCTTCTCGTCCTCTCAATTTCGCAAAACAACACCCCTGCCACGAGAAGGCAGTGAGTAGAAGTTCTGTGACAGTGGCTGTATACGCATGGTCATGTGATAGCATTTGGAGAGGGAGAGCTGACTCTCCCACCTTAGGCCGTACCAGGGCATTCGAGGGCTTTATATACTTTATGTACACGTTGTTTGAGTTTTTAAATAAATATTTGAAGATAAACGACTAACATTAATCAATGATAATTACTTAATTAATAGAAACTGACATATTTTTTCTTTATATCTACTTACCTCAGCAATTTTGCCTTTTGTGATGCAGTCATTGGAAAAACAAAAATTGCTTATTCGTTATCCTTGGTTGGGAGCTCCAATACAAATTAGCTTAGTCGGTTTAGTGTAAGTTGATTCACAGGTGTTGTAGTCGGCATATTTTTCAAAGGTGTTAACGTTTTCAAATTATCTTACTTTCTATATTCTAATTAGTTTATTTTGACAACTTTACTTCTGAGAATTAAGGATTGTGTATTGTAGCAGTAATTTGTGTAAACTGTTAGATTTTGTCAACGTAACCAGCTTTTCGATTAAAGATATTTTTCCCTGTCATTTCAACCATAGAAGTGTCATGTTTTAAGTTTACCAACCTCTGACATTCAATAGTTACTTCTTATAATGTTATATTTGAACGCTGTTCAATTTTACTCAGAATTTTGGTTCTGATGTCGGCATCTTCAGGTGACTGCAAGCTGCATACAAAAACAAGACACTTCAACTGGTCTTCTATCATTGATGATAATTTGAAACGCTCACACTCGCGATTTACTATACCAGCGTATTGCACCCAGTCATCGTCTCCAGCTTTAGCCAACTTCAGACATTGGTAACGAATATTGAATAAAGATGACTGTTCACCAAAGATTTGTGACAAAGTTACAACCGTTGCATCAAATGAAGTGTCTCTGGGATTATTGAAGTGAATGAAGTTGGTGTAGCGTTCATTTTCAGCTGTGCCAAGTTTGCGTAGCAGTACTCTGACTTTTGCGGTATCATCAAGTTTTTCTAGGTCGACCTTGAATACATATTCGTATTTCTTGAACCACGATTCAAGTGTAACTCCAGCCAAATCATCGAAATGAAATTCATGGATAGAATTAATGATGTGGTTGACGTGGGATTTGAACGGACCATCTGTAAGCTCCTTTTGATTTAGATTCATTTGCTGGGTTAGAGCTTCTAGAATACGAATCTGGAACTGTTCGAAACGTTTTTCTTGACGCTCCAGCAAGGCTTCGAATTAGTCAAAGGTAAATGACATCTTGATAAGTTAACCCCGTCGCCAGTTGTAATATCTGGAAGCTTAGATATTTAATATACCGCATATGATTTGAGCATCTGAATGCTAGAATCTAAGTATACATAAAATTACGGGTTTTTATAGATATTAGCGTTTGGTGAATCAACATTATAATTCGGCTAATCTGCAGAGAGGCATGTTATGCTACTGACCAGTGGTAGCATACCACGTTGACATTCTAGAAAGCTCCATTGCGTTCTGACTGTATAGAACTCTTCGGCTCTTCAAGAGCCTCTGGAGGCTCCTTCGTAGTTCTCGAAGGTCGTCCCAACATCTATCTTTATCAAAATTAAATTAGGTTCGCTAAATTTTAAATTAGCATAAATGTCTCGTAATATAGATGGCCACATTAATCATAAACAGAAAAAAGAGGCACTACAATGAAATCGAAAACCGATTTCATAAAATACAATCTGTAAACATTTGAAATAAGTTAGTTAGAACATGGAGAGAACACAGAACATACTTTGTTAATAAAAATTTATTAATGTTTAGTGGGGCCCTTTATTTTTTCATCATTTGGATCAGAAGATGTTGTCAACGGTCTCACCACTTTAGTGGCCCGTATCTGACTCCAATTTGATCGTATGAATGTTTGTTATTGAATGGTTGCTACCGAAATATGTATGTCGCCTACCGTCGTATATAACTATCGACTTAAATCGCGTTAGTCAATATCGGAATTAAATGAGTCAAATACGAGAATGAATTTCGAATACGTTGATGCAGACAAAATATCGGAGAAGAGAACGGAATAGAGCGAAGCGAAACGACGCGCAGTAGAGATGGCAGGTAACCAGCTCCATTTAGTCAAACGTCAATCAATATTTATAGTCACACAAAAATAAGTTACAGACATGTGATGAGTAATGAGATAAGAAGTGTACACACATATATATGCGCTCATATAAAAACAGTCAAAGTTGATAAGCGAATAATTAACAATGTCAAAATACGACTCAAGTAGAATGAATAGATTTTGGTGGAGTTTTGTTCTCTGACCTGGATGGTTTGGACTTCTACCTGAAGTTTGTGCTGATAATGTCGTTCAGAAGAACGATGAAAGCTCCACGACCAAACCATCCAGCTCAGAGAACAAAACTCCACCAAAATCATCCACCTGAGCTACAAATCTTCTCCACCATCTCAGAATGAATAGATTGACATGTCCGAAAGCTAGCATAAGAGCTTAACATGGTTACCGACACTACAAATGTAATTGGACATTTTTAAAAAAATGTATTTTTCATCGTACACAAAAAATTTAATTATGACTCGATAAACAATTTAATTGACAGAATCTTTATTCTACTTCTTCTTCAATAAAAAAAATATCTTATCACTTTTTTTCTTCTTCAGGTTATCACTTGTAACACCTTTATGCTGTGCTGTATTCCCACAAATCAGTTCAATTCCATTTCATAAACTTGAACCTGATGTTCAAGCACATATTAAAGAAATTCGATCTGATCGGTTACCTTCAGTTGTTTATTATAATAAAGGTTTATAATTTGTTTTAAATAAACAAAAACAAAATAAATGAATGTTCGAATTAAATTCCATATCTGTAAGAAGTAAATTAATTTTATATGAATGTATTCCATTTATTCACAATTGCATTTTAGTTATCATTCTAATATTATTTTTGTCAAATGATTTGTTAGATTTGAAATAGTCTATTTAGATGCAATGTATTTAATATACTTTTCTGGTGTAGAACAATTGATTTCATTCATTTAAACAATATTTCTACTTCTCTAACTATTTAGTAAGTGTTCGAAGTAATTGAATATACTGAGGAATTGTTTTGTTCTTCTAAAGGTATGACGTTTTTAATTATTTGAATCACCAGGTTTCCCGGTGCTGCTCTAATAGTTATTGATATTATCATGTAGTCTGATACAATCCCAATTGTTGCTGCTACCTTGACGTGATGATCGGGCTTCCTTATCGTAATGAACTAATCGAGTTATACTGACTGGAATAATCGTTCCTCAAGGTCTTACTATGCCAGGCAGGTCAGTTGAGGAGTGGTAAGATTAAAAGCTGCAAACCCAAGGACCGAAGGGGAAGTCGTACTGCTGATTGTATAGGGATGTGAGAGCAGTAAGGTGTTTCCCTCAGACAGACAGCATAACAGCGATGCTGTCTTCCCACAAAGAAGGTATGGGATTAGAAACTGTCGACCCTAAAAATGCACACCTCGCCTTATCCCACGGATTTTCGTCTCCAGCGGCTAGGCTTCAACAAACACGGAGTTAACACAAAAAAGTTGTGTGTGATCTGCCACAAGCAGTTGTTCCTTAGGCACTGCAGTCACGCTCTCAGGTCACTAAAACCAACTCTAACCCAGTTTTCTTTTCAGGTACCTCCAGAAAAACCCCTCCATGGTGTGGGCAACCGGAAAGTGATAACCGCCTTCATACCTTTAACAGCCCTCAAAATCACTGTATTCATACTCGATTCCCCCCTTTGATACAATAATAAATGCATATTTTTCTGAACAGTAGTGGTCGACAACAAATAAGTGTTCAACTCTCGTATTTTATCAAGGCATAGAAATGTCACACCGTAGCACTTTATCTGTAACAGAAAACAGTTATTACTGAACTTAAATGCAACTTGTTAAGTGTATTTCTAACTAGCTTAAAATTAACTTCGAAAGATCCTATGGTTTAAGCAGATTGATATCATGGCAAAATAAACTATTCATCATTGTTGGTGCTCAAGTCGCGAAGCAATGGGAATCAAATTCTGAACTTGAGCAATTTCTATACCATAGCTCATTAGCCTGATTAGGTCACTTCCTGTCAGGTGTCACGTCCTGTACTTATGTAATTTTTGTAACAACTTCATTAGTATTACAAACAAGAACAGAAATCGTGGCGTCCTGGTTGTTCTTCAGTAATGACTGTATGTGAAACCATATATAGTTTTCTAGACCTGTTTATAATCCCCCAATCAATTTGACTAGGTCTCAATATGTTGGCGTTCTGACTGATAAGTGAACTTGTAGGACCTAATTCAAACATCAATTTGCCTAGTTATGATAACTGTCAAGTGTTTTATAAATATCAACTGTTATCAACAGTCAGTGAGGCTGCGTACTGTATAGGTAGTTTTCTGATGTTGTGTTTTTCCTTCTCATATACAATGTGTGTTTGTTCATTTCATCAACCTAGTTCGATCTACCTAGTATTACAAAATTCAATGACAAGCAAGTTTAAGCATTACAATCGATCCACATCAGGATCCTAAAACTCTATCTTCTGGTAATGTTATTCGTGGTGCTGACATAGATTGCTGTTGTCTTGTAAAATTTGTTGAAGTTCTTTTTGACAATGGTAAGACATCATAAGAAACGCTCATAATGCAGTCGTGTCAGCACAAAGACAGCATTTATTCGGTACTCAGCATTTTTCTAAATTGCTGTCAAGTTTTATGCTTGGGAATCACACTCGTCCAATCATTATCAACTTTCAGGCGCTTAAGATTACCCAGATAAATAAATGCCTACGAAAGATTTTCCTTCCGGCTACGATTTCCCAGACTCCCACATCCTGGATAACCAACTTCATCCTGTACAGATAAAAATATTGATTTCCACTACTAAGTTGATATTTCCGACTGGTAGGTCGAAAGTTTGTATTCAATAGAAGCTGACATTGATACACAAGTATTGAAAATTGTCTTCTGAGATGAGAATACAAACGCAAATAAAATTTTCATTGTTTTCCATGTAAACTCCTTGGATGCTACTGACACTATAGAGTATCGAACTTGGCACGATTAGTCGGTGAGGGAAATATTGTAGCCAAAGACAGTCAGGCTTTATCACTGTTGACTCTAGTAATGGGAGATTTGAAATAAATTATAGATCTTATTTAAAGTCGTAAATGTTCTTCTGACTAATCGCATGAACACAACGTGGAATCAAATGGTCGGACGTGAAGTTGCTTTTGATTACGCATATTTCAAACATACATGCGTCACAAACAAACAGTAAGTCAATATGGAAATCGGGTTTTCGTCTAAGGTCAGTGTGTAAAGTGAGTTGATTTTTGCAAGTCAAAAGTTTTGTACGCTGAAGACAACTCACCGTATATATATATATATATATATATATATATATATATATATATATATATATATATATATATAGTTTATTTTAACACATAGATATTGGTACAAGGAGGCACCAAATACATATGCGCCACATAAATCTCATTCGACATATGTGAGGGCTGTGATACTGTCCGGGTGCCCAAACCGAAGTGGGTGGTTTTCTTAGGTGGCCACACCCCGAGCCTCCGACCTGGAGGTCTGATCCACAAGGCAGTGGAACATCGTGAGGAGATGCAGTCCCATGGAAGCCGGTGACCAACAGTTGGTTCATACGCCACTTGTTCCTTCAGGATCCTGGCGCCCATGTGCACCATTAGTTTGGGATCCGGTTAAAACGCCGGATTTCGTAAACAACACCCCCGCCACGAGAAGGCAGTGAGTAGGACTTCCCTGACAGAGGCTATATACGCGTGGCCATGTGAGAGCATTTGGAGAGGGAGAGCGAACTCTCTGAACTCTCGGCCGTACCAGAGCATTTGGGGGCTATATATATACGATTACGACACATGGAAATAGATGACAAGATATACATGTACACAAGAGGGCTGTCAAGTAACCAACCATATTTGAATAACGCAGTTATAAACCAGACCAAAATAAGTTACTTTTTGTCACGATAAAAAATGACACAGAATGTCTGGCAAACTAATCCATGATATATCTCCGAGATTTTTACTTGACTTAGGCGATAGTATTTTCTGTCTTTTGAATACACTTTATGAACTTGTAGTGCAAGTTACTATGTTAAGCCTCTATAACTTATTCTAGCTTCTGAACAGGTCAATTTATCCATTCTTCTTTATTCACGTCTTGACCTTGTTAATTGTTCACTTACCAACCTTGACTTTATATGAACGTATGTGTGTTCACCTCTTATCACATGACTGTAATTTATTTCTGTATGACTATAAATGTCAATTAACGCTTGACTGAATTGAGTTGGCTCGCTCGCCTTCTCCAATGCTCACCATTTTAATTTGCTTCGCTTTCCAATCAACGAATGTATGAAATATACATAGTCGAAATCCATTTTTCGTGCCTTAAGGTAACCCTTGTGCTATTGACAGAAGAAACTAGAGAAGTAGTGAATAGGTCTTTATTTCGATATTCGCGCAGTCACAGTGGAGCGTGGGATTATCTGTTCAGACAAACAAAGGCTCTCAACATTCAATATAAGATAATAGGGAATATAACGCTTATACAAAATAAGGAACTGAATGAATACTTGAACAATACTGTTTTGGTATATGCTTGGTTGTTTAGGGTCAACTCTTAACCAACCAACCTAAGCTGTTACACATTCTCGCATTTGACTTATTTAATTCCGTTTTACACTAACGCGATAAAAGTCGATGATTTATAAACGAGTATAGAAGACATGAATATTTTAATAACATTCATACGATTTAACTGGAGTCAGATCTCGGGTCAATAAAATGGTGAGTCTGTAGCGTGGTGTCGGGTTGAAATTAACTATGAACACCGCTACCAAGAAACACGTGCCAAATAAATCAGAAGGCGAAGGTTGGACGTAACCAAATAGATTCATAAAATCCCCGAGAAGCCAAATATCAGAAGAGAGTTAATGGACCAGTTGAGGTTTATTAGCTGGCGATCTCGTGGCATCGAAAGGATACCGAGATCGTGCCAGGATACAACCTTGGTTACAGAAGGTAACCGAATTCGCGCGAAGTTACAATCGAAGTGTAAGTATAAGAATGGAAGCACAAAATAGCTGTCATTAGCACAGTCAAACAAAAGCACGTTAAAACAAACACTGGTACAGTTGGTTATAATAATAATTGTTTTTATTAAACCAGTCGTGTTCTCGTGATAAACGTGAGTCACTACAGGAGCCCCCCGCTAGAAAGGGTTTACACTTTCGATAAATAGCGGTTTGAATCGTGGGACTGATCAGCTGACAAGCGATTGTAGGACGGAAGAATTGGCGAACAGGAAAGCGATCGTTGATCGTCGAGTTGCCAACGAAGGTCGTTTTCGGAGAACGGTACCAGGAGCGATGTGAAGTATTTGTTGCTTGAGTCGGCATGCTACCAGAGTGGTTTGTATCCAGAATCTGAAGAGGGCGTTCGTACGGGTCCGGACCATAAACGCTACAGACGAAGGACGAAACCACGTTGAGCCAAAAGACCAGAAGCGACCATAACGACCAATTTCGAGACCAAGCGTATGCCAAGCATTCGAAACCAATGTATCGACTGAGTACGTTGACAAGAGCGTGGGTGATCAGGCCAGCTTTCGCCAAAGTTGACTGAAGTCGACGGAACCAAACGGAGATGGTCGAAGGCGTGGGCTCAGGAAACAAAAAGAAAATCAAAAAAGAAGAGTGTAGCATGCGTGTAGTATAGGAATAATCCTACACCGTATCGGTTGTTCACTGTGCGATTAGTCGCGGAAGCGTACGGGTAACCGTACTCGGCGACCGGAACGTGAGACGGCAGTCTCGTTCGTATTTCGTGAGCCTGCAATCTCATCCGAGGTCAGAGGCGGCGTGGTCTGCTGATCTGGACGTGAGACTGTCGTCTCGTCCGTAGACGGTGCAGATGACGCGTGCTGTTGACCGGGACGTGAGAATGAGGTCTCAGATGCATCTAGCGTGGGACCTGAAGAAGATTTAAGGATCCCGCTAGGTTTGACAGGTCTAGCATTGAATCCCAGGGTGTCAGATAGA